AAAAAAAAAAAAAAAAAAAAAAAAAAAGAAAAAAAAAAAAAAGAGTTAGCAACCGAGGATGCTTATGTTTGTTTTTTTTGTTTGTTTGTTTTTGTCAGTATGGTTACCTTTATCTTATTTTTATTCTAGTATTCAGTGATCTCAGAATGATTTTCATTTTTAATTTTAAATGGAAATTTGTTGAAGTCAAAAGAACTGGAGACACATTAAAATTATATTGATTTTACTGTTTCAAAGTAATGTCACTGAGGCAATTTTGACAAGATAATATTTCCATTTTTTAGTTTCCTAAGTTGTATTTCCATATTGTAACCAACCAAATGTTTTTCATACTAATATTTTGGCAGCAAATCGTGTTTTTCAAACTTTGTTCACAAATATTGCTTACCTAAGAAATGTATTCCATTAGAGAAAGATCTTGAAGCTCAACTTGACATACACTTAATAATCATCTGAAAAAATACAGGAAAATTAATATATTTCTGTATTATTTTAAATCTATACTAAGAAATAAAAATGTTCCAATCCCCAAATTGATATTGTCCGTATTGCTGAAATATTATTGAAATATGTTGAAAACAGTGAGATTACCATTGTTTATGCCTTGTCTCCTCAGATAAATTTACAAAGAAAAATGAGAGTTACTGGTGTGATTACTCAAGGAGCTAAAAGGATTGGAAGTCCAGAGTATATAAAATCCTACAAAATTGCATATAGTAATGATGGAAAAACTTGGACGATGTACAAAGTAAAAGGCACCAATGAAGACATGGTAAGACTGACTTAACATATTTAATTTAAAAGTAAAATCTCATTAATAATCATTGGTTGCTAAATAGTTACTGACTCTTAAACAGAAGCCTTATACAGTTGTGATTTTTTTTTTAATTGGACTAAAGGGTGTAGAGTATAAGGAGTTTTTCCAAGTTATAAATGTGCAGCAGCTACCATTTAAGATTTTGTCAGATTTTAATTGGTGGTTATATAAACACTTTGTCACAATGTTAGCATAGTCCTGTGTATGATGATTAATTTTTATTTTAAAAATAGTTTTCAATTTCATTTTATTGCTTTGACGGATTAACACTCTTCTTAATCAAATAAGTACAGATCAAAATTACTATTTTTAAAGAAAAAAATTGTTACTTTTAACAAAAATACCAAGTGATAGAAAAGATGTATGCTTGTATATTTCACATTAGAAAACAGTTTTGTTATTCAGCAGAATATAATACATTAGAGAAAATGAAAATAATATCCAGTGCCTACTTTGCCTTTTCATATGATAGTCCCAATTTTTTATCAAATTTTCCTCAAAAATTTTAATTTTAAAAATATCAGGACTGCAGCTCATCCCATTTAAAACCAAATGGTTAAACTCTAATAAATTTTATGAAAGATTTTTTTAAATACTTAAGTGAAATTAGGTAAATTTTTCTGATTACTGTTATATGAAAAGTAAAACAAGAATGAGATAAAAGAATTAAAAATAACACATTTTAACATTTAATTTTTAGAGGGAAACACTGTTTTTCACTAGAGATAGATATGAAGACTTTGATTCTCTCATCCAGTGATCTGGGACTGACAAGAAAGTTATCTTGAGGAATCAGACCCTGAAGCATCATAAAGTCTGATTATAGCATTAGAGAGACTGAGTGATCAGAAAGTACTAGTGGAGACTGCTAACCAAACCAAACCAAACCAAACCAAAACACCTATAAATACTAAGTAGCATAAACAGTTGGTCCCAGATTAAGCTGAAAGGTTTCAGGTGCCCATTTCTCAAACAAAGTAAAGAAACTCTCCCCTGACTCTGAAGGACTGGCCTTAAAATCGACAATACCATCATAGTAGAATATAGACCATAGACCATAGAATATGCCATAGACCACAGTGGTTTATAGCTTTAATTAGGATTTTATCCATAGGTCTTACATTCACTGCTGAGGACAATGTGCTTCCTAAATGCTCCATATCCCCAATATACTTAATCCAACTTTTGATGCATCACATTAGATAGGATATAAGGTCAATATATGAAAATAGGTAAAGAAGCTCTTGCCATTAATAATTTCAAACTCTATCTTATCTCTTTACCCAGGTGTTTCGTGGAAATGTTGATAACAACACACCCTATGCCAACTCTTTCACACCCCCGATAAAAGCTCAGTATGTAAGACTCTATCCACAAGTTTGTCGAAGACACTGCACTTTGAGAATGGAACTTCTTGGATGTGAACTATCAGGTGAGTCTCATCTATTTCTGTATTTTCTTTAAAGGAAAAAACATATATTTGTATGTAGTCTACTACTAATTTGCCATTTTCCAACACTCACAGATAATAATTTCGGCTACAAAATGTCTAGGGCACAGTTAGTGGAGAAAATTTGTGTGTGTGTGTGTGTGTGTGTGTGTGTGTGTATGTGCGCGCATGTGTGCATACGGGTACATGCATGGATAAACAAGTTCCAAAACATGCTGCAGAATAGAATTAATGTAGAAGGAGCAGTGTATTTCAGAGAAAGCACAATAAACTCTCACTGGAAAGTTCAATCAGATTTAAATGTATCTTGTTTTTAGGAGTAAGTATGATTTATGTTTTGTGACAGAAGTTCAGTAAAAACAGGAATCTGCCTGACCCCACAAATTGCAGTTATGTTTAGGCTTTATGGAATAGAAAAGTAAGCTTTATCTTTGTTCATCCACCATGAGAACTTGGTTTTGTTTTGTTTTGTTTAGGTTTTATGAAACATGTAAATTTATCATTCCTCCCAGGGAGGTAATACTTCAAAACCATGAGAGCTACTATAAATTCATTCTGATATCATTCTTATCTAGCAACCGGCTTACTGTACAAACACTGATTATCCAGCTCAGAGATAAATCTATCAAAGTATTCAGAGTTAAATAATTCTTGTCTTCCAGGAGCATCAGTGCTAGATATAAAGATCAAGACTTAATGTGTGGATCTCACAGTGGTCCCATTTCAATATAGCTAGATTCTGAACTAAACAAAAAACCTTTTCTAGGCATTTCACTATGCTATATTTTTGGTGGTTGCTCTTGTATTTCTAGCATCAACATTTAAAAACTATCTTTGCCACTATGGCCTGAGATTATTTTGTTCAACCAACTGTTTTGTAAAAAGCCAAAAATTCATGTGTGCCCACTTTTTAGCATGAAAGACTTTATCAGACTTACAATAATGCCATTTAGTTAAAAATAGGACACATATTTCCAAATGGACAACTAAGAGCTTTTTATTCATTTCAAAAGAAATGCACAGATGTTGAAATGCATACTTTATATCTCTTTCCCTTCTTAGGTTTCTTTGTGATGCCAAGAAAGAGAGTGATTTTTAGCAAATAAAAGTTACTATTAAAAACAGCCAAACTCTAAGTGAACCAATTACATTTAAAGGAATCAGGGACATTTGGTCAGATGAGTGAATCTGTTTTAAGAATCACATTTTCATACTATCTATGGGCATCGTTTATAAAGTAACCAACATATGGTTTTAGTACCATTAATTATCCTAACAATGATGTTTTCTTTATTTTGGTAATTTGAACCCGTTTATTGACAGCCAGAAATCTCAACAGAATCATTGCTGTGCAGTTTATATTACATGTCACTCTATCATCACAGGCCAGTGTCATCCCTAAGTCATTCATCATAAAGCAATCAAGGAGAAGCCAAGCTCCGTGGTTTTTAGTTGTTTAACATCGCCATCCCCAATTTTCCAGTCTCTTGATTCATGGGGGTCACTCTTTCTTACAAGACACAGTTACACCCCCAAGGTATGAATATATTTTACTTTCAGCTTTTACAGGAGGCTACACCTGACACTTTATAGATTTTATGTTCTTAAAAGAAGCCATACCCCACCTCCCGATTCCACAATTGATTTTAAGCTTGCATGCAGAGGATAAAAATCTCTTAATGGATGCTTTTAAAAGCTAGGATACCTCACTCTAGAAATAATCAACTTTTTTGTTAATACTTCATTTTGCTCAGGTGCTGTCTGTTCTGGTAAAAGTGTTAATCTACACATATGAAATCATGTGGATGAGAAGGAAAATTTGTGGTGTGAGGCAAATTGGCAGAGATGTTAACTATAACACTAGGAAATAAACAGTAATATAATGTGCCAAAGGATTTCCCACAATCCCCTGCAATGCTGTAAAGCACAAGTCTGCCTTACTGTATTCAGTAAGCTGTTAAAAGGATCTCTCAGCCTGCCCAGAAGATCAACAGTTAATCTTTTCCCTAGACACTTAAAAAAGAAAATCCCCTAAATTCTCTGAAAGGAGTATGATTTAAGATAGTTAGAATGAAATGAATCATGGCTGTAATTAGAGGAGGACTAGTCATTAATTCATCCATTCTTTGAAAAAATTATTCAGCACTTGCTCTGGTCTCGATAACAGAGTGGGTATGAAATGAATTCTATGATGAAGCAGAAGTGATCAAAGTAAAGGCATCTGACTTCAAATATTATATCACAAAAGGAGAAAAACAACTTCCCTTTCCCTTATATCTTTCTGCAACCCAAGCAGTTTTACAAAGACCCCAGTACCAGGGCAGGGTGGGTGTAGGGAGCGTTGGTGGTCCTAATAGAAAGATCAGAAATCTATAATGCAGACAATGCATGTTACCTTAGAACTGCCAGCAGATAAACAGCATGTCATTAAGATTTTGGAATTTTCTAGAATCTTTGAAATTTGTCATGCAATTTTTCTCCTCCAGAAGATATATTTAGGAATTTGAACTATTTTTATCTTGAGACTTAGGGTCTAGGTCTCCTGCACCTGAATTCCAGCAAGACTTGTGCTAAGGCGCATAATTGGCCAACCCTCCATGTCAGTTTTGGCCATGTTTGCATAGGAAAGGCATTTCCTACAAGGTGGAGGTGAAGCCAAACATGGAGAAGCTTCAAGAAGGCAGTGATCTAGATGGACTAGAACAGAAAGCTATTAATTGTAGTTAAGAATTATTTATCAGTGAACAGTTCTAAGCTCCCTCTCTTAGAGCCTAGACTTAAAACAGCCTAGTTTCAGAAAGTGAAACCAGTCCTACTACGTTATTTTAATGCTTACTGATCTGTCAATCTGGCGATTTAACGTTATGTGTCGAAATGAGCTTTATGGAAATAACATTTACTGAATGTTAGCTATATGCCATACTGTTTCTAAATACTTTAACTAATTTCTTAGAATATTTTTTGAGGTAGTTTATTATTATTACCACCATTTTACCAGTGAGAAAACTGAGGCATAAAGTGGTTAAATAATGGGTAAAAAGCCACAGAGAGACTAAGTAGGGAACCAGTAGAGTACCAGGAGATGGCCTTGATTGGAAATATCCCCTTTTTCATCTTGGGTTTCTTGATGATCAGACTCATCTTGTGTGTTCCTTGGTCAAAATGTAGCAGTTGTACATATGGAAGACTCAACCACTGACTAATATGATAATAGAATCGTGCTTCCTGTTACGAGCTTTGTGAGTGGAATTTTATCACAGTTGCAATTCAAGATTGGAAAATAGTGTGTAAATTTCTTTGAGAAATTGTGTGTGTGTGCATGTGTGTGCACATGTGTGTGGGCATATATACACAAATTCCCATTAACAGACAAATCCAAATTTCATACCATGACAAAACTGAAAAGATATGTTGCAGATTTGAAAATCTTTCAAAAATATCCAATACGAGAGGTCACTGAGTATGATCAAAATGGAAGGTTTTATAAGAAGGCTTATACAATAAAGATTTTTGCTAGAATTACCTCATTTTCTTCTATTATCTATTATTTTAAATTCTGTATTTGCACAGTGCCTGGCACATGGTACCCGTCGAGTAAATATAAGCTTTCTCGATGTCTAGAGGAAGCCATGTTGGTGCTACAAGAATCAGCGATAAGGATTAACAGATATTTCTCAGAAAACAAAATGCTGTCCAGTTTGAAATACACCATTGGAGCAGTTTGTGAAAATGACTTTGTACTGAGGGAATTTTCATTTATGATATTATGGAAACAAATAAAAGAAAACCAAGTATACTTTGTGAGAAAATGTTCTTTTTTAAAGACACAATGAAACTGTTGAAAACCAGGGAATAGTCATGAGGCTATCAGTAATGAGACGGGAGAGAGCATTTCAGCCTTGTTTTCATTTTGCAAAATCATCTATCACAGAAAAGTAGTTTGAATTGTCTGCCTTGTTTTCAATTTTTCCAAAATATATTCAGACAAAATAGCCTGAATTGGCTATCTTGTTTTTCTGATTTTGTTCCAGATTTATTTCTGATTATAGCCTTTTTTGAATTTAGATGCTTCCTCTTTGGGGAAATGAATAGCATTAAGCTTCATCTTATTTTGCCTATCAAAAATGAACGTAGAAAACTTCCAGAGTAATAAATTATTTTTCTCATGGAATCCTTCTCATTTTCTTCCAGGCTGTTCGGAGCCTCTGGGGATGAAATCAGGACATATACAAGACTATCAGATCACTGCCTCGAGCATCTTCAGGACTCTCAACATGGACATGTTCACTTGGGAACCAAGGAAAGCTCGGCTGGACAAACAGGGCAAAGTGAATGCCTGGACCTCCGGCCACAATGACCAGTCACAATGGTTACAGGTAATATTTTCAAAAAGCCTTTCACCAGTGACTGCTCCTCTTCCTTAGTAGATTTCCTGTTGGCTAGGTGAATGTCAGAGTCCTTGCCTTCATTCTCATTTAAGTGTACCTTCCTCTTTGGCTTACCTAAAATTGGTAAAACAAAAATTCCTTAGGAAGCCATAGCCGTGTGCTGCTTTTACTGTGATGTTAATTTATAGATAGTTCTGTCAGACTGATGCCCTAGATTGTACCAGATCACAATATATATAGGTCAGTTCAATCGATTATGAGAACAAATGCATCTTAACTCTCATCTGTTCTAATGCATCCTGTCAGTATTGGTTTGAAAGTGCCACAGCAGAATTCCAAACTGCCCTGAAATCATGCCATTGACCTGCAGCTTGTTCCCACAGAATCATGACTCCTGACTTATTAGCTCTTTACCTGTGGTTGCTAAGCAATGGAGGAATTTGATTACATTCTCATAAGAGAGCTTGCCTATACAAGGAAAGAAAGCATAGCCACTGCAGTCTATTTATCATTTGCAAATGAAGTGCAGTTATAGTCAGTGTTTTTTTTTTTTAAAAACAATCTTCTTGAAATGCATTTATTGCGGAGTACTTTTAAGTATGCACAAATTTGTTAATGTCTTCTGTGGCAAAGAAAAATAAGACAGCTTAATTCCATAATGAGGTCATTTTATTTGAAAGATAGGAGTTTTATCATTGATTTTTATGCTGTATCCATGAGTTTCAAAACTGTGGTAATTCATTACATTTCTGAAAATAACAAAACAATTATAATAGCAACAAATGTTACCCCTCATGGAACCTGATTTGTCACCTGAGTCTGTTCTAAGTCACCTGAAATGTCCAATAAAATCTTCTCAATAGAAATAGTCACTTTTCCCTTGACTTTCCCATGACATTCTGTCTGGATCTCTATTGATCTAGAGCTTTATTGAGCTCTTTCATTAGCCATTATGCATAAAGGGTAATTCTGTGTGTTTTTCCTTTTAATGTTTTATGAGCTTTTTGACAGAAGGGTGTATGTCTACACACACACACAAACATACACACACACATACACACTCACACTGCGTATTTCCTTTCTCACCATCCCCTCTGCCACCTCCCTGATCGAAGCTACCACTCCCTCACCTGGGTTTTGCCCAAGCTTCCTGACCAGCTTTCCTGTTTCTGGTCTCACTCTCTAAAAATCCACTTCCTAAATTGTGAGCAGTGAGTGATTTTTTTTTCAAAAATGCAAATATGATTCTCTTACTCCCTTTCTAAAACCCTTCAATTGCTCCCTATCAGCCTCAGAATAAAGTGCAGATTTCTTAATATAGCCTCGAAGTTTTTGCCGGAGTTGGCCCCATTTCATCTCTTACCACACTCTTCTAAATTTGCTTCACTTTCTCAAACCAAATGTTCTCTCTTTCAATGCCTTTATAAATGTCCTCTTCCTAGAGGAAAAGAACAGAAAGAGTGCTTCTACCCTTAGTATCCCCTGCCTTGTGTGGCTGATGTCCTCAGCTGCAGTTTGAATGTACTTTCCTCTGGGAAGCCTTTGCTGCTCCTACCAGCTTCATCTTACCACAGTAAGATCTTACCACTACTTATAGTAGTACTCAGCTCTCTCCTGAGTACTACTTCTCACTGTCCATTATCACACTGTATTGGAAATTGTGTTCTCAGATTTGACTGTTTGCTCCAGGAGGGATGAAACTACATTTGTCTTTTGTGACTTTCTCAGCTTGTTGTCCAGTACCTAAATGAATAATACTTGTCTTAACACTTGACATTCGATGAATATTTGTTGAATGAATAAGTGGATAAATGAATAGTTCAAATTATAATTCAAGTTATCGATTTGGGCCTCGATGGCATATCATTCTGGTCCCCAACTGCTAATGTCCTCGAACTTTAAAATGATATTTGAAATAGAAACCTAAAATCTCATGTTGGGGGCTCCTGGGAGGCTCAGTGGGTTAAGCATCCAACTCTTGGTTTCCACTCAGGTCATGATCTCGTGGGTTGTGGGATGGAGCCTGTGTCAGGCTCCCAGCTCATCAGGGAGTCTGCTTGGGATTCTCTCCCTCTGCCTCTCCCCCAATTTGTGCATGCACGTGCGTGCTCTCTCTCTCTCTCTCAAATAAATAAATAAATAAATATTAACAAAATAAAGTAAAATCTCGGGGCGCCTGTTGAGCACAGTGGGTTGAGCCTCTGCCTTCAGCTCAGGTCATGATCCCAGGGTTCTAGGATCGAGCCCCTCATCGGGCTCTCTGCTCGGCAGGGAGCCTGCTTCCCTCTCTCTCTGCCTGCCTCTCTGCCTACTTGTGATTTCTGTCTGTCAAATAAATAAATAATATCTTTAAAAAAAGAAAAGAAAAGAAAGTAAAATCTCATGTTAACGATCTAGTCTTTATAACATAGAACTAAAGTTTAATAATACATAAACTTTATGAAGTTTTCAAGTTCTTAATTTAAAGAAATCATGGAAAAACTTTTTTCCTACTTGTTAGACTTGGGTGGCAATATTAAACTGGTTCTTTGTTGCTGTATAACACTTTTTAATTGGAAATAGTCTAGTCATACTCCAGATTAACTGGATTTAGCTAATATTATTTGTGAGTCATAATGCCATGTAGAATAAGACAAAATATCTTATACCCCGTAAGTAGCTCAGATGGGCTGGCAAGCAGACTCCAGAAATATCTACATGAAAGGATTGCCAATGGCAAATATCCTTAGAAAGATAAAATAAAACAAACATTTTTTTTTTACATGAATCGGTGTGTAATCTTCAATCCAAACCTCCATCCATCACATTTTTTTTTAAGATGGCTTTTCAACTGTCTTCTTAAAGTCACTTGCATGCTGAAATTGATTCATTTTGTTGGTGACAGATTTTCTGTCAATTCAAGGACCAGTTCTTCCAGTATGTGTCTGTTTTTTTGTTGTGTCAAAACATATTCAGAATCTCCAAGGCAAGGTAAATTGACATCTTTTCTTATATTTATTTTTTTCTTTTTTGACATCACGTAAGAATTGCTCCAGAATTGTGACTATTTTTAGCATCTTCTCCTCAAGAGGATATAATCTGTTCAACTGTACCTTGTTATGCTTGTTAGTATCTTTGTTGAAAATAAGATGAACATTTTTATAGATAATGTATAGGGTGATATTTTTAAATTTTTTATTAATATATAATGTATTATTAGCCCCAGGGGTACAGGTCTGTGAATCACCAGGTTTATAAATGTCACAGCACTCACCATAGCACATACCCTCCCCAATGTCCATAACCCCACCACCCTCTCATTACCACCATACCCCTGGCAACCCTCAGTTTGTTTTGTGAGATTAATACAAACCTCTTATGGTTTGTCTCCCTCCTGATCCCATCTTGTGTCATTTTTGCCTTCCCTATCCCCCAATCCCCACTCTGCTTCTCAAATTTCTCATATCAGGGAGATCATATGATAATTATCTTTCTCCGATTGACTTATTTTGCTAAGCATAATACCCTCTAGTTCCATCCATGTCGTTGCAAATGGCAAGATTTCATTTCTCTTGATGGCTGCATACTATTCCATTGTGTGTGTATGTGTGTGTGTGTGTGTGTGTGTGTGTGTGTGTGTACACACACACACAAGAAGTAATATATATATATCGCTTCTTCTTTACCCACTCCTCTGTTGATGGACATCTAGGTTTTTCCCATAGTTTGGCTATTGTGGATATTGCTGCTATAAACATTCAGGTGCACATGTCCCTTCAGATCACTACATTTGTATCTTCAGGGTAAATACCCAGTAATGCGATTGCTGGTCATAGGGTAGCTCAATTTTCAACTTTTTGTGGAAGCTCCATGCTGTTTTCCAGAGTGACTGCACCAGCTTACTTTCCCACCAACAGTGTAGGAGAGTTCCCCTTTCTCCACATCCTCGCCAGCATGTCATTTCCTGACTTGCTAATTTTAGCCATTCTGACTGGTGTGAGGTAGTATCTCAATGTGGTTTTGATTCGTATTTCCTTAATGCCAAGAGATGTGGAGCACTTTTTCATGGATGTCTTCCTTGCAGAAATGTCTGTTCATGTCTTCTGCCCATTTCTTGATTGGATTATTTGTGCTTTGGGTGTTGATTTTGATAAGTTCTTTTTCTTTTTTAAGATTTTATTTATTTATTTGACAGAGAGAGATCACAAGTAGGCAGAGAGGCAGGCAGAGAGAGAGGGGGAAGCAGGCTCCCCGCTGAGTAGAGAGCCCGACATGGGGCTCGATCCCAGCACCCTGAGATCATGACCTGAGCCAAAGGCAGAGGCTCAACCCACTGAGCCACCCAGGTGCCCCGATTTTGATAAGTTCTTTTTACATTTTGGATACTAGCCCTTTATCTGGTATGTCATTTGTAAATATTCTCTCCCATTCTGTCAGTTGTCTTTTGGTTTTGTTGACTGTGTCCTTTGCTGTGCAAAAGCTTTTGATCTTGATGAAGTCCCAATAGTTCATTTTTGCCCTTGCTTCCCTTGCCTTTGGCGATGTTTCTAGGAAGAAGTTGCTGCAGCTGAGGTTGAACAGGTTGCTGCCTGTGTTCTCCTCAAGGATTTTTGATGGATTCCTTTCTCACATAGAGGTCTTTCATCCATTTGGAGTCTATTTTAATGTGTGGTGTAAGGAAATGATCCATTTTCATTTTTCTGCATGTGGCTGTCCAATTCTCCCAACACCATTTGTTGAAGAGACTGTCTTTTTTCCATTGGACGTTCTTTCCTGCTTTGTCAAAAATTAGTTAACCAGAGAGTTGACGGTCTATTTCTGAGCTCTCTATTCTGTTCCATTGATCTATGTGTCTGTTTTTGTGCCAGTACCATACTGTCTTGATGATGACAGCTTTGTAATAGAGCTTGAAGTCTGGAATTGTGATGCCACCAACTTTGGCTTTCTTTTTCAACATTCCTCTGGCTCTTTGAGGTCTTTTCTTGTTCCATATAAACTTTAGGATCATT